GGTAAAAATAAGCTTAGGGGGCTTTTCATGTGGGTTCCCACATCTGTACCCCAGAGTTCAGAGTGGGGAAGGAACCCTGACATGGGGATACATGTGGATGCAAAGCCACTGAAGTTAAAGGAGCTCTTTTTGCCAGCAGTGACTTTGATCTGTGTGTTTGACTGGAGGTTTAGTCCATAGCTATGAAATTTGCTGAATTGGTGGCTGTCTCAAAGTTCTCATGGTCTCAGTTTAAATCCTCGTGTGTGTCTGACACACCAAGCGAGGCAAAGGGAAGCCACAAACAGAACAGAAACGCATCTTCACACTGAGGGAGGAGGCAGTTCCAAGCTCCAGATAACGTACGGTGAGGTCATGCCTCCCCAAAAAGGGAGGAGCCAGAATCACAACGGTAATTTACAGACACTCATCACCCAGAAAAAAATATCAGGCTCCTTTAAAGCATCTCAAGTTGGGCAACCAAAAATCACTGGACAATTTAGGCTCACTATTCAGTGTGTTACATTGAAGTCCTAACCGCCTATTGCTTTTCTGACTCTTTTACTGATTTGTAACAATCTCATCCCCACCCCATTATAGAAAAGAGCTTGACTGAAAGATCAGTGTGATGGGGGAAAACAAAAAATGGTTCCATGATTATTCCACATACAGGAACTAGAGGGTCATATCCCACATGCAAAGGAAGAGTGAAAAGCCTGTGTAGTCACTGAAAGGACTGCTCAAAATTGATAAAAATAGTGAAATTCATCTAGAAGTTCTTGCAAAAGCTGTGGTGGACCAAGAAGTTACTGAATATCATCTTCTAAATCACTTCCAGTTCCCATTTCAAGATGGGACAGACACGAGGATCCTGAGCAGAGGAAGATAAAAGTGCTCTGCTTTCACCTTTAAGTAGAGATAAGAAATTCCCCTCAGGCAGACCCATGGATCTTGCCAACTGGGGTCACTTCTCGCAGCTGGTGCAGTTTGAGGAATCCTGACCCCCAACACATTGTGGGAAAGCACAAGGATTGCAGCACACAGAAGGGACAAAGTTACTCACCCGGCATCCCCACTGCTCTCAGAGCCCTGCCAGCACTGCCCCCAACCTGGTTCATTTCTTATTCTCTAGGTTTGTTACTATGTATTGGGACCGTCCACCTCTCCCCTCAAACCAATCTGTGAAGTCTCTTGATTTGAGGTGAGCAGCGGGCAGGACAGATCCAGCCTGGATTAGCCAAAGCATGAGCCCCAGAGCCCTGGGCGGGGTAGCAAAAGCCCAAGAGCTTCAGCTCCAGGTAGGGGGCCTGTGACCTGAGCCGAGCCACCCAGGGCTGAAGCCCTTGGGCTTCGGCCACGGGCGGTGGGACTCAGGATTTGGCTTCATCTCCAGGCAGAGGGTCTCGGACTTCGGCTTCGATCTCTGTTACTCAGGAAACAGACTTGATTCACGCTTACCCTCTGTGCAGGCTGGAACAGGAGGATCCCAGGTTCCTTCATCTCGACACTGAATCTGATGGCTGCCATTCAGGGTGTAGCCAGGATCACATTCAAATGTGACTGTATCCCTGGGTCTATAGACAGGTCCACGTCCAGCTACTTTTCTTCCATGTTGGATTTCTGGGACGATGCAGAGAACCTCTGAAATTGAAAAGGTGCAGAAGGAGTCAGCTTGCACTGTCAAGCTGTGCTGTTCAGTGGGCGCTTGGCACCTGTGCTGTGGACTGGCTGGGAAGAGTTTATGGTGTTGATTTTGACCTCTAAAATGCAAACACTTTAGTGCTAGCCTGCCTAAAACCACATCCCACGGGTACCATACTGCTCCTCTCGTGGTGAATAGAGGCCCCAGATGGTTCCCTCTCAGTGACAGTGAGAGCAGGGCTGGCGGGAGAGCACCCTGTGAGGGGCCCTCAGTTTGGCCCCTTGTTTTAAACAGTACTGGCCTGTTGGCCTTCGGAGACACACTATACTCTTCACTCAGTGTGTAGCAACGGTGGGCATAGCGTGTCTGTCTGTGAGTGTGAGGGGAGCGTGGCGATTAGTTGCTAGTGTCCTAATTTATGTTAAGAGTGCCCAGGGTATCAGTCAGGGTTTCAGTCTAATGTGGGGTGTGTGTGTGCATAGGAGTGCAGAGTTTGCATACAGCACATTTATTTTCAAAAGCATTTATTTCTCTAATTAAATGGAGATTTAATTCCCTGCTATTATATTTGTTGCACTGGTGACCTTGTCTTCTGAGTAAAATCCTGTGGTAGGAGCTTCTTCCTCTTAGTTCTAGGTAACAGAACATAAACGCACCTTCACACTGAGGAGGGGGAGGGCTCCACGTTCCGGATGCCGTACAATAAATAGATGCCTGCCCAGTTAGGGCGTAGCCGGGCTCACAGCTGTAATTTACAGACATTCCACTGGTGAACACTGCCGAGACCTGGACGCTGGGCTTCCCGTTGGCGATGGCTGGAGGAGAGGGACACTGCAGCACTGCAGGGAGGGAAGAGAGTCTTCACTGAAGCAGAGCTCATACAGGCTGATCTCCAGAAGGGAAAAGATCCACATGATTGTGTTGAGTCGTGCCCAATGCAACAGCAGTGAGGCAAATACACATCGGGGGTAAAGTTACCGACCTCCATCCAGTCACATCCCCCCATATACCTATAAAGCACGATGACTCAGTCATGCTTCTTGTAACCCTCAGACGTTTTCCCAGCCACCTTAGTAAGGGTCCAAGGGCTATTTCCACTGTATATTTTGTGTTTACATTGGAAATGCTGCCACTTTGGGACTATTTCTTGGTTGGTAGGGGCCATCCGTAAGTTCCCTTAACTTGGGAGGGGGGTTAAGTCGGCAAAGCTGACCAGGACTCAGTTCTTCTTGGATCTTTTTGGAGAGTGGAAAAGCCCAGGTACTATGGAGAGGAGCACGGGAAACACTGGGATAGCTACACAGATATTTGCATTTCCCTTTTCAGATCTCAAACTAATCCCACAGTCCTTTTGGCCCTGCCAGATCTTATTCATCACAATGGGATCAAAGATAACCCACCATCAAAGCCTTAGTCACACTTACTTCTTTCACAGACAGGGACAGGAGGATCCCATCTACCATCATCTTGGCACTGAGTCTCGGGGCTGCCGCTCAAGGTGTAACCAGGGTCACATTCAAACACAACAATGTCTCTGGGTCTGTAGGCAGGCTGTATCCCATTTGTTCTTCCATTCTCCACTTCTGGGCTCACGCACGTCACTGAAAGGGAAAGCATAACAAACCCTTTAGACTCTACGGTATGTGTGGGATGGAATGGACTGAGCCATTTCCTTTGATAAGTCTTTTACTGTACTTCAGTTTCATAACTATTTCTACACTCTGACGTCCTCTTGTCACCTGTGTCAATTCTTTCACTATGAACATTACCCAGCTGCACTCGCAGAATCATAATTCATGGTACGAGTGGATGCAAAGCCACTGAAGTTAAAGGAGCTCCTCTTGCCAGCAGTGACTTTGGCCCATGTGTCTCACTGGAAGTTTAGTCCCCAGCTGTCTAATTTGCTGAATTGGTGGCTTATTTCAAAGTTCTTGTGGTCTCAATTTAAATCCTTCTGTGTGTGTGTCTGACACACCGAGCGAGGCAAAGGGAAGCAGCAAACAGAACAGAAATGCACCTTCACATTGGGGGTGCAGGTTGCTCTAAGCTCCAGATGCTGTACAATGAAGTGATGCCTCCCCAAAAAGGGAGTAGTCAGGAGAGAGTTCTGCTGATTTGTGTTTCCATTCACAGCTTTAGGACGCTCCGTGAGACAGAGCATTGCCAGATCTCTGTCTGTCAGGAGAGTAGGGCAGGATGCAGGGGATCAGCTATCACAGTGACGAGCACAGTCAAGAGATCAGGGGGTAGGTGGATATTTGTATGTTCCCCATTCACAGCTGAAAAGTGACCCCAGGATTCAAAGAATGTTTATTTTTTAGCCTCCAGGCACAACCCTACCAGATATTGATCATCTCAGTTACCCTGCAGTCAGCCTAGATTCACACTTACCCTGTGTGCAGACTGGAACCGGAGGATCCCAGGTTCCTTCATCTTGGCACTGAATCTGATGGCTGCCATTCAGGGTGTAGCCAGGATCACATTCAAACCTAACTGTGTCCCTGGGTCTATAGACAGGTCCACGTCCAGCTACTTTTCTTCCATTCTGTATTTCTGGGGCGATGCAGAGAACCTCTGAAATTGAAAAGGTGCAGAAGGAGTCAGCATGCACCGGCAAGCAGTGCTGTTCAGTGGGCGCTTGGTACCTGTGCTCTGAACTGGCTCCCTACTAGTTTCTGGGGCAGGGGTGAAAGTAACTTTCAGGACTTACCAGTACTGTCGGAGTCCTGGCGGGGGCGTGGCCTCATCCAGAAGAGGCGTGGCCTTAACCAGAGGAGGCTGGGCCTCTCAAGATTTAAAGGCCCTGGGGCACCGGCTGTGGCTGGGAGCCCTTGGGGCTCAGGGGCAAATTAAAGGGCCTGGGGCTCCGGCCGCCGTGGAGCTCCGGGCCCTTTAAATCTGCATCGCAGCTCCGGTGGCCGGAGCTGCAGGAGGGATTTAAAGGGCTGTGGGCTCCCCGCAGGGCCAGGCGCTCCGGGCCCTTTAAATTCTGGCCCCAGCCCAGCCGCCGGAGCTGCGGGGTCGATTTAAAGGGCTTGGGGCTTCCCGCAGGCGGGGGAGCTCTGGGCCTTTTGAATCCCCGCCGAAGCCTGGCTGCTGTCGATTTAAAGGGCCCAGAGCTCCCGCCACTGCGGGGAGCCCCGAGCCTTGCCGGGCTGCCAGGGCCACCCGGGGGGGTGGGCAAGTGGAACAATTTGCCCCAGCCCCGGGCCCGAGTGGGGCTCCCACGAGAATATAGTATTCTACAGTATATAGAAGGGGCTCCCAAAATTGCTTTTTTAATGGAAGGGGCCCCCAAAATTGCTTTTTTAATGGAAGGGGCCCCCAAAAT